CGCCCTCGCGCACAGCGCGTCCCGCTCGGGCTCGCGGCAGGCCCAGCGCCCGGCGCCGTCCTGCGCTCCCGCCGCCGCCACGTGCTGCTCCCGCTCACACGCACGCCCCGCAGCTCTGCCTCGTTAACGTGTTTATTGTTGCACTGCGAATCGCGGCGAGATCAAGTGAGAAGACAGAGCCTGTACACGGGGGGCCGTGGGAGCAGGGGCCCGCTTGGGTGGGCTCCCTCAGCCACAGCAGTGCCACCTTGCCCCGCTACTCCCGCTGCAGAGCCCGGCCCTGGGCAAGGGCTCTGGCTCCATCTCCCCCCTTTCCCGGCTGCAGAGAGCCTGGGTCGCCCCTGCGGGGAGGGCCTCCCCCGCCAGAGCCTACTATGGGGGCATTAATGGGCAGGACAGCACTATTCATCCCACCCCAAACCCTCCTCCACCTTTTACCTTTCCAAATTTGCTGTGCTGCACATAGAGGATCCCATCCTTCACCGGTCTCTCCATGAGCACAGCACTGCCCTGGCAGCTGGTGCTGAGATCTGGGACTCAGGCTACCATCCGCAGAGAAATGTGACTGCTGCAGCTGAAGCAACTGCATGGGGCAGACTTCCTTTTCTCAGCAACTTCCCCTTTTTGGTGTGTGGGATGAGGGGCAGGCTGGGTCACCGGAGGTGTCCATCCTCCCTCCCCTGAACACGAGGGCACTGGAGCAGAACATGTGTGACAAGAGCACAGGAAGCTCCGAGGGGACCACCTGACTCGAGCCCCATGTGCTCTGCCCAGCTCCGGCTGCACCAGGGCACAGTCTGGGGCAACCAACTGTCCTTGCCAAAGAGCAGTAGGAAGGAGCAGTCACCAGCTGAGGGTGCATGACACGAGCTGGGCAGAACCCTTCCAGGGGAAGCCAGAGGCTTCGCAGGAGAGCGATGTAAGAGCCCAGCCACGCCACCATGGAGAAGCTGCGTAGAGACAGCAGGCAGCCGGGCACAGAACAGCCGCCCGCAGGCACCACTACCTGCTTGCCCAACGCTTCGTGCCGCTGACGCCAGGGGCTGTTGCAGCACAGCTCCCCACACTTCCTCCTGCAAGAGCAGGAGCTTCCTCAGGCTGCGCTGGCAACAATCCTACAGGGTCAAATGCTTGGAAAAGGGGTCACAGCAGTAGAGGACACTGCCCTGGCTGCAGTCCAGGGCTTTGGGAAGCGAGAACAGTTTGCACAAAGGGAGCCAAACAGCAGCTCTCTCCCGCAGCCCGCGTGGAGGCGGTGCTAGGCAGCATCGTGCCCTGGCTAGAAGTCCATGGAGCTGTGGGCTAGGTAGTCCTTGCGGCCGATGTTGCTGACTTGCTTCGTCTGCATCGCCTCCAGCTTGGGGCAGTCGGTGATGCGATGGCCCGGGCCGCCGCAGAAGGCGCAGCCCCGCTCGCCTGCAACGGGAGGAGCGGCTCAGAGCGACACACACGGTACCATGGCAGGAGGGGGGTCCCCACCCCAGGGGCAGAGGGGCTACGTCTGCAACTCCCACTGCCAGCAGCACTGGGACACTCATGCAGCCAGGCAGCAAGAGTCCCAAGGCAACCCAGGTGAAAGTGATGCTGGAAATGCCCTGGGAATCCAGAGAAATGGGAGCCAGAGCTCCCTATTTGCACTCACAGCACTCCACCAGCCCTGCTGGAGTTCCCTGTTCCCCGGGGATTCTTACCTCCAATGTCCAGCATGGTCTCGTCCCCACAGTGCAGGACCTGGAGTACAGGAGGCACCTTCTGCTTCGCCTCCAAGAGCAGAGCCTTCAGATCCATGAGCACTGACTCATCTGGGGGCAGAGACACAGGTCAGAGACAGCCCGAGCAGGAGCCCAGTGTGTCCCCGAGGGATGGGACAGCCAGCCAGAGGCAGGGGAGCTCCATCTCCCGCGACCATCTCCCTTCCACAAGCCCTAGGGACTTGGCCCTGCTTGCTTGGGAACCGCCACTGTCAAGGCAGCGGTGACGAGGAAGCAAGTGACGCTGTCGCATGGCCTCACAGAGCTGCAGCCCACCCTGCAGGCAGCCCCGGCCCAGCCCCGCGCCGCCTCTCACCGCAGGCCTTGTTGATGAAGGTGGTAGCGATGCCCGTGTTGCCTGACCGGCCCGTGCGCCCGATGCGGTGAACTGCAGAGAAACAGGGAGCTCCAGGCCGGGCTCACTGCAGCCCCAGCACTGCAGCAGGGCCCCGCCGCAACCGCGGCCAGGACGAGCACGCAGCCCTGCACTGCCAGCTGGGATCCCGCACTCCCACTCCCCGCAGGGCCCGCTCCCTACCATAGTTCTCAATCTCTTCTGGCATGTCATAATTGATGACATGCTGGATAGCTGGGAAGTCCAGGCCCTTGGAAGCTACGTCAGTGGCAACCAGGACATCCTTCTTCCCATCCCGGAAGGCCTCGATGGCTTTCGTCCGCTCCTCCTGATCTGCAAGAGATGAGCACAGAAATCAGCAAGGGCAGAGCTCCCAGTCCCATGGCCTCAGAGCTGAGCACCGCTCACAGCCCAAGCTCCCTCCCTTGGAGAGGCCCTGCACATCCTGCCTGGGCAGGCCCAGCCCACACAGACCTTTCCCTCCATGGATGGCCACAGCTTCCACACCCTTGAGCAGCAGGTATTCATGGATTGCATCAACATCTGCCTTCTTCTCCGCAAAGATCAGCACCTGCCACAGCACAGGCATCAAGGAAAGAGAAGAGCCTTTCTGCCCCTGCTAGGAACCAGCACAACCTCCAGAGAAACCTCCTCCCTCTTGCAGAATAGAGTGGTCACACAATAGCTCTGGGTCCGGGACCACACACAGAGTCACCTCAATCCCCATACATGGCACTGCCTTCAATTTTGTCCTGCAGCACCAGCCCCGCTGAGGGCCACGTGGCAGACGGACGGCTGCGCTGAGGGGCACCCCCGACATGCTGCACCCTACTCACAGGTGGCGGGGTCTTCTGCAGGCACTCGAGCAGGTACACCATCTTGGCCTCCTCCTTCACATACTCCACTTCCTAGGAACAAGCGCGGAGATAGGTCAGGTGGACAACACAACAGAGGGACTTTGGAGGGACAACTATTTGTAGGAAGCACGGGTATCTGACAAGAAGCACCAAGTGCCCTGTGGGCTGCGCTGGCCTCCCACACTGGCATGGGGAAGCCCCCAGCTACCTCACCTGCACAACATCCAAGCTGGCAGCGCCCGCTCGCCCAACATTGATAGTGATGGGCTTCACCAGGGCACTCTTGGCAAAGTTCTGGATCTTCTTGGGCATTGTGGCACTGAAGAGAAGGGTCTGCCGCTGGCCCTGTGCAGGGAACAGTGCAAGCCAGTGTTCAGCACCTGAGTGGGCAGGCACAGGGACACAGCCCCGTGCAGGATGGACCGTGCCAGCTCAGCACCTTGAAATAGGAGAAGATGGTGCGGATGTCCCCCTCGAAGCCCATGTCAATCATCCTGTCAGCCTCATCCAAGGCCAAGTACCGGCAGATATCCAAGCTCACCATCTTCTTCTGCAGCAAGTCCATGAGGCGGCCAGGGGTTGCCACCATCATGTGCACACCACTGTGGGACAAGAGAAGGCCACAGCCAAACATTCAGGTTCTGCCCCATGCACCAACATGTAACGAAGGGCTCAAGGTGCAACTATTTCACCACCCACATGCCCTGCCCCAGAGCTCAGGCCGTGGGCTGGCAGGGCAGTAACACACACACAAGCCCTTGCCTGTCCCACCAGACCAGCCTGGATGCTGGTTCTTAGATCCCTGCCCTGAAATAAGCCCAGCTCCAGCCGCCCTACTAGGCCTTACTGCTTGATGGTCTCCATCTGCTCCTTGACAGACATGCCCCCGATGCAGAGGGCGCAGCGCAGCGGGGGCAGCCCGTCCTCCTGCAGCAGGCGGCAGTAGTATTCGATGATGCCGTGGGTCTGCCGGGCCAGCTCCCGCTGCAGACACAAAGTCATTAGTCCCGTGGCTCTGCTTAGCCCCTCACGGCTGTGCCTGTTCCCCAGGGGCTTCGGGAAAGGCTTCCCTGCAGCCCCGCAGGCAGGCGCCGCGACACACTCACAGAGGGACAGATGATGAGTCCGTAGGGGCCCTCTCGCTTGGAAAACGGCAGCCTCTTCTCCTGCTCCAGGCAGAACATGATAACGGGAAGGGTGAAAACCAAGGTCTTCCCAGAGCCAGTGAAGGCAATGCCGATCATATCCCTTCCTGAGAGGCTGTCAGAGATGAGCGCTGAGCGTGAGCGGAACCGTCGCAGAGCGGCTCAGACCCGCGGGGCAGGGGCTGCGTGG